TCATTCCTTCGGTACAAATTTAGAGTGTTAAAATGGGTGATTTTGGCGGGTTTGGTTGGATAAAATGGGTAATGGGTATAAATGAGTCAACCTATTTATACCCATTTAATTAGATGGGTATAAATGGATAAGTCAAAAAATGAATTGGGTAACCCAATTACCCATTTATAACCCATTTATTTTAACTTTTTGTAAATTTATTTAAATTCATTTTTGCAAACTAAGTTATCAATTTATACCATCTTTTGCACCCATCATTAGTTTTAAATATTTATTTATAATACTCAATAAACTTAATTATCAATTTTTTTCCCATATGTACTCTATGTCGTAAAATTGCATACTATTTAATAATTAAATAATAAGAATATAAAATTTTGAACTAAGTACTATAAAGTTAACATAAAAACTTAATCAAAAAATTTTGAACTTCTAGCATTTTTTTGTGTGTAAATTTAAAATTTCATTTTGGAAAAATAAGAAAAAAGGCTAAAACTTATCATAAATTGGTAATGGTGAAAATGAGCAAGTTAATGGGTGGGGAAAGTGAGGAGGTTTGGGAGAAGACAATTTCTAAATGGGTTAATTGGTTTGATAGGTTATCCAATAAATGGATATTATTGGACAACCCATTTATACCCATATGCAAAAATTTAATAAACCCATACCCATCTATTCATGGACGGGTATGGGTAAACCTAGTTAAAGGGGTTTGTTTGACAGCTATAGGTACAATCATCTCCCCAAGTAGAATTAACGACTGAGATCTCTAACTGCAACCTGCAATCAACTTGAAGGTGCAAAAAATAACTCTCCAGTCCTTAGTGTCCCTGGAAGCAAATGTTTTAAAACTTCAGATATTTTTGCAACTAAATCATCTTACCGTACAATTTTATCACCTCATGTTGGACAGATTTAAAAAAAATATTAGTAATGTTTTCACTGGAGTATATTGTCCTGAAGAAACCAAAGGTAGAAATAAAGTATAATATCATTGTCATCATTTTGACTTAAAATCCCCTTAAAGAATATTTCATTTTTCAATTTACCCCAAACCTTTAATTTTGCTCACTTAACCCCCTTCAGGACAAAATTGCCCTTGCATTATTTGACTCTTCATTTAACTTGTTTTCCTTTCTTTTATTTCTTTTTCTCTTTCTTCTTTATTTAATTCTTCCTCTTTCCCACAAAAATCTTCACTTTAATGATTGAAATTAAAAAAGAGGAATTGCAAAGATCTATCTTCTCCTTAAATGATTAAAAAAATATTCAAATCACTTTCCTAAAATACAATTTTTTTAGCCTTTCAATTCTTTTAATTTTGGGTTTTCCTCTTTTCTTTCTAGTTTCTCATTTTATTCCCAAGAAAATATCATAAAATAAAATTGTGACCTGATTAATAATCATCAATTGAAATTTGTGACACGTGACATCATACAAAAAATCAAAATTAGTTTTTGATGCCTTTTAAATCTTCATCCTGAAATATGCAATTACAAACTCAAAACAAAAATTTTCGTTGAAATGGAATTTCTATTGGGAAGGATGAAAGAGAGAAGAAAGGGAAAAAGAAATAAAAGAAAGGAAAACAATTTTATCTTATGATATTTTCTTGAGAATAAAATGAAAAACTAGAAAGGAAAGAGGAAAACCCAAAATTAAAAGAATTGAAAGGCTAACAAAATTGTATTTTAGGAAAGTGATTTGAATATTTTTTTAATCATTTAAGGAGAAGATAGATCTCTGCAATTCCTCTTTTTTAATTTCAATCATTAAGGTGAAAATTTTTGTGGGAAAGAGGAAGAATTAAATAAAGAAGAAAGAAAAAAAGAAATAAAAGAAAGGAAAACAAGGTAAATAAAAAGTCAAAGTAATGCAAGGGCAATTTTGTCCTAAAGGGGGTTAAGTGAGCAAAATTAAAGGTTAGGGGGTAAACTGAGAAATGGAGTATTCTTTTAGGGGATAAAATATGATTAACCCTATTATAATTGGGCAAAATCCACTTTACCCCTTGTGGTTTAACCTTTTTTTTTATGTAACCCCCCTATGATTTCAAAAGCTATATATAACTAGGGCTGTCAACGGGTCGGGTCCGGGCCGGAATTCATTATTCCGGACCCGGACCCGAATTACTATGCCGGATCCGGACCCGACCCGTTTACCCGACGGGTCCTTTATTCTACGTTCCGGATCCGGATCCGGCGGTCCCGGATCCGGATCCGGGTCTACCCGAACAAATTTACCAAATTTTATAATTTCTAATAAAAATGAGAAAAAAATATATTTGTAAACTAATTTCTAACTAATGCAAAGAAAAAATCAAATAAGAAAAGAAATCAAATTAACTTTATTAAAATACATCACCCTAATCAAATTATATTGATAAATATATATTTTTTAAATTATTAATTCATTTATATCCGGATCCGGGTCTAATACGGGCCGGAATACTATATTCCGTATCCGACCCGTTTTTTGTTTGACAAAACGGATCCGGATCCGGATCCGGGAAACGGAATTAAATCCCTACCCATACCCACATTAATTTCACGGATCCGGTCCGGATCCGGGTCTAGACCCGACCCATTGACAGGCCTATATATAACCCCCTCATGGTTTGAATTAAAATATCAAAATGACGGGAATAATAATTCGTAACGGAGTCATCTAAAATATCAAAAATACCCTTATGTAAAATTGAAAATTATTTATTAACCAAGAGGGGTTATGTGTATATTTTGAAAATCATAAGGGGGTTATATGGTAAAATATTAAACCATAAGGCGGTTATATGGTAAAATATAAAAATTATACAAGATTAGTGTGTCATGTATTTATAAGGGTAATTTCGATATTTTTAGAAGTTCCGTTATGAATGATTATTTCCGTCACTTTGACATTTTAATCCAAACTATGAGGGGTTATGTATAGATTTTGAAACCATAGGGGGTTACGTAAAAAAAACGCTAAACCACAAGGTGGTAAAATGTAATTTGCCCTTTATAATTTTCTGCATTCCATCAAATTCTGCAGCCTTTTCCTGAGTAGACTAGCTCTACAAAGCCTTACCGCTTGGGAGCATAGTTATTAAACTCGGCCCGGCGCGGTCGAACCGGTGAACCGGTCATTAGGCCGGGCCGAGTCTTAAATTGGATCGTTTGAGCAACGGGACCGTTGACTAGTCAACGGCCCGGCGGTCGGACCGGGCTAAACCGGAAACCCGGCCGGTTTTGATGGAAAAATTTTATTGCTTTTGTCAAAGCCAGTGTTTTGAAAATCGGACCGGACCGGCCGGTTCGACCGGTTGGATCGTGAACCTGCCATGGCTCCGGTCCGGTTCTATGCTATAGTTGACCAGGTTAGAAAACCGGTCAAAAACCGGTTAAACCGTGGAAACCGCGGGACCGGATTGAACCGGCGGTTTCCAGTTTTCGAGATTTTCCTTTTTTTTTTTTTTTTTTAACATTTTGCAAAATGCAGCTATCAAGATTCAAACTCAAGACCTTTGTAATAAAAGACCAATGTAGGAACCATTGCACCATCACATCTTATTAGTTTTGTTTTGATAACTTATTTATATAAAACAAAAACTCATATTTCTTTTTTTCATTTTTTTTACAAAATCTAATCATCTCATGACTCTTTCTTTTTAATCTTCAACACACACACACACACACACACACTCTCTCTCTCTCTCTCTCTCTCTCTCCTTTTTTTTTGTCACTCTCTTTTAATCAAACCACTTTATTTTTAATTTATTGATGTTTTCTTCCATCTTTTAATTTTATTTTTGTCCATTAAATTGAAAAAGGTTAAAAAAGAATTATTTTTCTTTAACCCAAATTATTTAATGCCACAACCACTCGCTTTTATTTCATTTTTTATTTCTTATCAAGTTTGCATTTCTATTTTCGATTCTCTTGACTTCTTTCGAACTCCAAAATTCCTTTTTAAAATTGCAATATCTAAATCTCAAAACGTAAATTAAAATTTTAGTTCACAAAATCTAAATTCTCATAGACATGAATTTTGTATAATTTTAAAATATTATGATATTTTTGGGTTAGATCTAAGATTTTTTTGGTAGATATAATTGAAATTGAAATGAAATTTATTTATTTTAACTTATAATTTAAAAATTTTATTTTTAAAAAATCAAGTTATTCAAAAATAGTAAACTTTTCATCATATAATGTATTAAATTAGTCCATTACATGTCTTATTTTGTGCATAAATATTTATATAAATTATTTTTTTTAAATTCATTGAACCGAGGTTGAACTGGTCCGACCGGTTGAATCTCGACCCTTTCACGTCACCGGTTCAATTAACGGTCCGGTTTTTAAAACATTGGTCAAAGCTCGAACCTTGGACCTCCACCAATCAGTAACGCATGCTTACCACCAGGCTGCTCCGAAATTTGTTAATAAAAGGTCTTTATTATAATATATATATATATATGTTTTTTCAATTCTATCTTTTTTTTCTCTAAAATAAATTTATTTGAAATCTTTTAATAAAAATTAGTACCCTCCAAACTCTATAATTTATAAAATGAATTTCAAAAATAACACATTACATAATTCATTTCAAAGACAAATATTAATTTAATAATTTTTTACACTTAAAATTCATAAATAAGCTACATTATTACACTAAATATAGATAAAATTTTACACTTGAAGTTTGGTGTATTACTAAATAACTTTATATTTAATTGATTCTTATATGAATTAATTATTTTATAGCAAATTAAATTAAATGAGCTTTTACTATAGCATTATTTATTACAATTTATATCATATATCTTATATAAAAAATTATGAAATATAATATTTAAATATATTTAGTGACCCACCGGTTCAACCACTCACCCACCGGTTGAACCAGTAACCCGTTGATCCACCCCCTTCGCCGGGTTCCTTCCCGGGTTGGGTTTAATAACTATGCTTGGGAGACTGTCCTCCATAAGCAGGAAATAAGACTTGATACTAAGCACATCTATTTATCCATTTAAAACAAAATTGCTAACCTGAGGGACAACCTGAAAATTTGTCAGCTTCTCATGGTCAATCTGTTTCGCCAATACAAGCTCTATTGCCAACCGAACTCCCCATGATGATCACCAGAAATTCACAGTGATGATGGTTTTTTGAGAGATATTACATAAGTTGGGGAAGGAAATTTTGGCGAGCAGTTTGTAGAGGTCAGCTGACAAAGATAAGAGCAATTATAATACAACTTTCTGCGATTAAGTGTCAGCTAGTTGCCAGAAAAAAAAGGTAGAGCTAATTTCAAAGATTACAAGTCTGGAAAAGATGAGAAAATTCACAGTAACATAGCATGATAATTTGTAATCCCTGATATCATGACTGGAAAGGCTGGCTGATATAGTGCACAAGCTCCTGCAACGGTTTTATCAGGTTTTAGACACTAAGAAGAAAAAAAAGTGTGCCTGTAGCACGCCATCCTGAACATGTCCTCCAATTGAAACAGGCTTTGATTCAACAAAGTTTTCAGAAGTACATGCTGTGTAATTCAATCTGTAAGAAAGAGCCATTGCAGATACCAGTTGATCATTGAAACTGAGATCACTAAAAATAGAAAAACTCGAAATGAGGCAATATGTGGTGAAGAAGAAAGCTAAAAAGAAAGTTTAGGTAATTTCACCATACTTTTGTACTGTCAATCTCACAAAAGGCTAAAATCTGTGTCTTGTTTGTTTTGAAACTACATGGATAAGCAAGTACTAAGTCATGTTTCCAATTATTCCTATAAATATTATAGTAGTTTGGTTCCAACAACAAAGTAAGTCATTACAACTCAAACTTGAAAATAATGACGGGCAATTCATGGCACATGCAAAGCAATTATGTGGTGGAACTTAGAAAATAAAGGCCATTGAGTCACAATAGAATCCACATTTAACTGCTACCGGAACACCAGCCAGTTTTAACTTCTAACGACGAGCAGTATGCCAGAGATATAGCAAATTGAGTTGCAGAACAAGTAAATCAGCACCTCATTATTGTGACTACAAATTGCTGAATCGTTTGGACAGTTTAAGGCAACATACCCACAATGGGAATCTCAGCCCTTGACCATTTGAGGCACAGAGCAAAAGAGAATGCGTCCTAGATGTTACTATCTAACTGAAGCAGGATCTTATTCAGCAAGGAATCATAGGACTTTCAAAAGTAAAGGCAGCATGTAAGAGCCATCGGCGAGGTTCCCCTTGAGTTTTGGTCCTACTATCACTGCAAAGCACAAAAACTCAAACTCAAGATGGCATATACCATAGAATAAAGCTAATGGAAATTTTCAGATCATTGCAAATTTTTGTCATTGTAACAGAGCACCGAAAGAAGAAACTTACTATAAAAGAAAAGCAACCCACAATCACAAAAGGCAGAGGAAGCTTAAGAGCCTTTATCTAGGTGGATTCACTAAGAGCAGCAAGTTGCAACAAGTAGACTTGACCAACTACCGAAATGCTTCAAAACATCCTGCTTAGACTTGACCATGGTCGGAAGATACTCCACCAAGTTTTTGTGCAACTTCATTGCATGAACGGTAAATCTTCCTTGGCTACCTCAACAATATCTTCACAATGACTTTTTCTTTTGTTTTACATGTAGCATATTAAAAATCAAAGCGATTAACAGTCAAGATTGAGCAGTGACGTGTATCTAAAATTACCAGAATTGTGAACCAAATGCCGAAGTTTTAACCAAAAGCTGTGAAAACTCCTTGATTGACCATTGTCTTCATGGCTAGAAAATCATAACCGAGAAAAAGTGAGTCAGAAAACCATTATTTAGAGACTCAGAGCTATTACTAATCAAATGATTCAGAGAAGTATGCAAATGCATTTTCAAGAGGTATAAAAGTTACAGAGAAACAAATTCATCCCTTAGAATCACAAGTTCAAAGAGAGCGAGCTGACTTTAGCAGTAATATCTTACAATTCGCAGAAGCAGATACGGAATATCAACAAAACTAGACTGCTAGTTGTTAATATATGTTGATGGGTATTTGTAGGAATTGCAGGCAAAAAAATTATTCAGTTCCAGCCATATATACGGTGCTGAAGAAGCTTCACGATTCTAACCTATGTTCGTCTAAGCAAAGAGACCACAAAAATCATATTGGGAAGTATTGAAGAAAGGAGTGTGGCCAGAATTGCTGGTCTAAAGAAATATGGAAGAGGGTTCAAAAATTTACTGCATATGATATATAAACTAAGCTGCAAAGCGCAATTTCAACAGGTGCAAGGTGAGAGAAATCATTTTTTGTGTAAGATTTAAGAGACTACCAGCATAAGTAAAGATTTACTCAACATCATATAGATCAAGTGGTTTTGAGATGGATATTGACTCTGGGATTAGTGTAGTGGCTACCGTCCGGGTCTTGAGGAATAACTATGAATCTTAAAGTAACAGCATCATTCTAGATATACTAAGTTTAACTGCAAAAAGAGAACAGGCAAACTCACAAAAATCAGGTTGTATGTAATGGAGCTAAGATACAACTTCAAGAAGAGTGGTAAGCAGCTTGTGGAGGCCAACTAACAGACGATAAGTAGTCACAAGACAGACTGACAATTTTCTGCAACTGAATTGGAGCTAATTTGAGAGACAAGCAGTCTGAGGCAGAAAACCAATTGAGGTTCATAATCAGTGAATTACTACCTCATATCATGACCGACAGTTTGACGGCACAACATTCACAACGTTGATCTCAAACTTTGTCCATCTCAGTCACTTAGAAGCAAAAGAGAGTGCATTCTCTACAGTTGTCACCAGTTTGAAAATGGTGTGGTTGAAGAAGGAATAACAGGATATTGACAGGTATTGAAGTAATTAAGCCACCGAAGTCTCCGAGGAGATTTGAGCCTAATACACTGCAAAATAGAAAACTTAAACTCAGGACAACGTAAAAAACATCGTAAAGCTAACAGGAAATTTCAGATGATTGCACGACATTTCTGTTCAACAAATCTTACAGAAAGCTTAAAAAAAGGCTTTTGTCTTTGTTTTAAAACTTAAATTAATAAGCAAATATGAAATCCTTCTTCTCAGTTCACAGATACCAAGTAGTGTCATGAAAATTGTTCTAGTTTGTGTCCAAAACTCCAAAAAATGAAAAGAAAAGTGGCAGCCAGTAAACCTGACAGGCATAGACAGCTCAAGAATCTTCATGAAGGCGAATTCCTAGAGAGTAGTGACCAATTATTACTATTTGATGTTCAAAAGTTTAAATCATCACAGTTAGACTTAACTTTTCAATAAATGGTAATCTACCAAGTCTCTGGAGCTTCATTGCAGGAACAACACTATTTTCCTTGGCAATCTCAAAAAATGACTTCAATATGTCCCTTTTTGTTTTGTTGGTTTTAGTTAACAAATTGAGAATCAAACTGCTTAAACTTCAATAACATATTTAGAGAAGAAAGGTTGAGTCACAAATTAGGATAATTTTAAGTGAAAAAAAAAGTGGTATCATAGATTACCAGTCCCTTTGCCAATACCAATTTAAAATCAAGGGGCAGAGAGAATTTGTCGATTGACCGGTGTCCTCTTGCTGAGAGATCATAACCAGGGAACGTTGAGTCGAATCCCATCACTGAGAGACATTGTAGAGAAGATCAAATCTCAGATGATGATAAGATGACAATTCATTTTCAAGAGGTGAAAGTGCAGAGCAACCATTTTGTCCCAAAGAATCTCCACTTTAGGAATCAATGTACAAATCACAGTGGCAGACATATATGGTGAGCAAATAAAAACTGCTACTTTTTATTGAAAGATAGCAAAGGCATGAAACTCAGTGCAAATAGTGGTAAGCTATCATATTATGCATAGCTATCCACACCAAATAATATGTTCTTAAATATTGTAATCTATAATTGAGTTAGAAGTGATGTGGATAATGTGACAAAACCAAAATATCAAACTGCTCATCAAATATATCCTTTATATCTGGAAAAAGCCAAAATTATACCAAAAAGAATTGATTGGATTATGAACTGAGCCTCTCGGGGAGGAACTAGAAGTGCCAAATGTGAGGCGTGATGCGTACTCTGTGTGCTATGTGTGTGTGTGTGTGTGTGTGTGTTTGTGTGTGTGTTGAGTGTGTATTGTGAGTGTGTGCTGTGACATTTTACCGAGTGATGGTGTTTTCTTTGCTAATAGCAGTTAAACGTTTTCAGGCTACCTAAGACAAGCAAAGTTCAGCAAAGCAGACTTCTGCCTTCAACAAACTAAAGTGCAATCAACAATTTAGATCTCTAATTGCAACCTATGATCAAATTGAAGGTGCACAATTGAATCCTCTCAAATTCCTGCTATTGCATTGCTAGACAACATCCTTGGAGGTAGATCCTCATAAGCTTTCAAATTTTTGTAAATTAAATAATTTTAGTTATCATCTCACATACTTCATAAGAGTTTCATTGGAGTATGTTCTCCTATAGGAATAAAAGAATCTATAAATTAAAAAGTCTAAAATCTCTGTTGTGGTTGCTAGTTGACAATTTTTTGTGCTTGGACATACTTTCATTTGAGGCTTTACTCCATGAATATGTTGCATTATCTTTTCTTTTTTTACAAGCAAATCAATAAGTAAATAAATTTTCACAGTAAATGGTGGTGTGTATTCCTGAGTTTGATGAAAGCCATAGATTTTAAATCTCAAGAAATCTTGTTCCTACATTATAATTAGGGCAAATTCCACTTTACCCCCTGTGGTTTAGCATTTTTCACATAACCCCATATGGTTTCAAAAGCTATACATAACCCCCTTATGGTTTGAATTAAAGTGTCAAAGTGACGGGAATAATCATTCATAACGGCGTCACCTAAAATATCAAAAATACCCTTATGCAAAGTTGAAATTTATGTATTAACCAAGGGGGTTATGTGTATATTTTGAAAATCATAAGGGAGTTATATGGTAAAATATTAAACCATAAAGGGGTTATATAGTAAAATATAAAAATCATACGGGATTAATGTGTCATGTATTTATAAGGGTAATTTCGACATTTTTAGAAATTCCGTTACGAGTGACTATTTCCGTTACTTTGACACTTTAATCCAAACTATGAGGGGGTTATGTATAGCTTTTGAAATCATACGGGGGTTATGTTAAAAAAGGGTAAATCACAGGGGGGTCAAATGTAATTTACCCTTATAATTATGAACACGGGAAGTTCTATTACGTTTTCTTGAGCTGGGAATCTTACAAATTTGAGTTTCTTTTGTTGCTTTTACCCTAAAGATAATGAGCAGGTAATAAGACTTGATACTATGTACGTATATTTTCCCGGCTTAGACATGCTAACCTGCGGATAATTCTTGAAAGTTAGCAAAACCTCTAATGGTCAATCTGTTTCTCTAGTAATGATCATCAAACTGTAAATAAGGATCATCAGAAACTCCTGGTGATGATGGCTCCCCAAAAACATCCGATAATTTGGGGCAAGATTTTTTTCCAAGCAGCTCGCACAGGCCAGCTGATAGTCTTAAGCAATCAAAAACACTGACCGAAAACTTTCTGCAATTAAGTAACAACTATTTTCAAAAACAAGAAGCCAGAAAAAAAAAGAGAAAATTTGTAGTAACATAGCAGCTAAATTCTTACTGCTAGATCTCGTGACTGAAACAGCAGATTGATAGTGTGCAAACTCCGACGATAAGGATATCAGGTGTTGGCTATCTGAGGCAGCAATACGGAAGAAAAGAGTGTCATCATAACATTTCCGTCCAAGATACTGGCTATGCAATTCAATGAGTAATTAATAGCCAATGGAGATTTGAGCCTAAGATCATTGCAAAATAGAAAATTTGAACTCAGATATTATGCAGGGAACAAGAAATCTAGACAATTCAGATAATTTCGTGAAGCTATTGTTCTGTCAATCCTACAAAAACAAACCGTGGAACAGAATATGAACTGAGTTATAGCAATACATCAAAGCACGGAATAGAATAGGTGCTTGGTTTCATGCTAATTGATGGTTACATAGTATTATGTTGTTAGGAGTAATTGAAAAGCACCAATATTTTGGACCTGGTAAGAAATGCTAATGCTGCACCTCTGAAAGCTAATAAATAGGAAGAGAAAAAGGGAGAAGACAAAATTGTGAAGAATAACCATAGGGACGTTTTAGTTTTTCACGAGATGGTTAATCAGAAAGGGGGGTGACGAGAAGGCAAATCATAAAATGGCAAAGAAATTGATTATAAGGCAAATTAAGAAAGTAGGTAAGAGGCAATCTTACATGATAGAATTTGATTTGAAGATGAACTGTTAACCAGATTTGAAGATGAACTGTTAACCACTGATGTCTAGGTATTGAATATGAGAAACCTTGGACCACAGGGAGTCAGGGCCACTACTCTGAGGAGTGCATCTTTCTTTTAAGAGAGGAGAACAAAAAACCCACAAATGCTTTAATTTGGTGAGGCGTCTCATGGCATCGTCAGAGGGTAAATGTCGAAGCTTTTTGAAATCAGAAAAATGCAGGTACTCAAGAGCTGTAAAGTTTCCGAGCCAATCTGGTAGAGCTTCTATACCTCCAAAGTCATGTAGCGATAGTGATCTGAGGATGGTCAAGTATTGGAGCAGAAATGGCAGCGAATCCATGTGTGGCAACCCATATAATTTTACTTCACGAAGTGTTGATGATGAATAGGAGGAGGATATCAAACCAGACCAATCAAATTCATTGTAAATTGAAGAATTTTCATGATCATTATCATCTGAGAAGGGACCAATTACAAGGCAGTTTAAGCTGGTTAGGAAACCAATCCTTTAGGCGTCATACTTGTTTTCAGTTCGGGACACCGGTATAATTCCAGCTCCAAAAGAGAAGGCGTTTGTTGCAAATCAATTGGAAAGGAGATAAGATTCTTGGAACAACTCACACTAAGCCTTTGGAGAGAGGTGCAAGAGTGTAGTATGTCACCGAACAGATCTGTCAACCCACTGCAATCATAAATCACCAGCTCCTTAAGAGACGTAAAGTTTTGCAAGGGAAGGAGTTCTCTGCATCTAGCGCAGTAATTAAATTCCAAACTCACTAACTTGGGGAGTGTTGTTGGCAAAACCATTATCCATTGAGGAAATTGATCGCCCATAAAGCCTGAAATTGCCAACTCCTCCAAATTTGGGTGAGGTCTAAGGCCGTCTAACACATCTTCTTCGCCGTAGTTGTCGCCTTCTCGATCCCGGCCCCACTCAAGTCGTAAGCTGAATAGATTTGTCTTTTCAGATAGATTTGCTTCCTCACCTCCTTCTTTACCCTTTACTAGTTGAAGATTGCGTATCACCAATCTGCCTTTGAGGTTTTTCAAGCATCCAAGCTCTCCAATTTGTCGACCCTTCTCTTGACCCACGTTAAAGAACTCTAGCATCTGAAGGCAAGTCAATCGTCCCATATTCAGTGGCATTTGAAATTTTTCATCAGGATTGTAATAGTGGAGATGTCTCAAGTTAATCAAATTGCACATCCTCTTTGGAAATTCTTTTAGATCACTGCATTCACTTAGCCTCAGTGTCTGCAAATTATAAAGTTTACAAACAGATTTTGGCAAACTTTTACCACAGAAACCAAAAAGTTCAATATATCGCAAATGTATCAGTTTGTCAATTGTGATCAGTAGCTCCTTATTTTGGGCACAATACAAATTCAAAACATACAAGTTCTTCAATTTCTTTAACATACCACCACCAAATAAGTTAACATACCATTTCTGTAACACGTGATCACCGAACAAGCTATTCCTTATAAACAATGTATGAAGCGAAGTTGATAGACTTTCAAGAAGTTTCACTGTGTGTTCTCCAAATGAATCTATTGCAAGGTAACGAACTTGATTACTGTTGTCTACTAATCGAGTCTCTGAGTTAATGACTTTAGTAGACTTTGACACTGATTCTGCAAGGTCGTGCACTAGATCATGCATCTTATAATATGTTCCCCGAGCATTTGTTTCTTCAAACAATGAACTCTGCAATAAAATTCTCAAATAATTCATTCCAATTTCCTCCATCATCATTTGGCTGTTGACATCTGCTTGGAGGAAGCCTTCTGCCATCCAAAGTTCGATAAGCATATTCCTTTCTACCCCAGTATCCTTGGGAAATATAGAACAATATGCAAAACATTTCTTAATGGATGGAGATGGTAAACAATCAAAACTCAAGTTAAGTATCTCCATGACACCATCTTCATCTCCACTCAAAATTGAAAGCTTATTCTTCAAAATCAATTGCCACTCCTCCTTTCCCTTCATGCGCAATAAACCTCCCATTACACTTGCAGCTAGTGGTAGACCACAACATTTTTTTATAATTTCCTTTTTCATGACATGCAATTGTTCGGGAATTTCTCCATCTGCAATGGCTTTCTCTGTTAGGATAGACCAACAATCGTCATCAGATAGCTTTCCTAGCACATAAGAATCATGTGTGGCCACAATGGATGCAGTTTGTTGTTTACGAGTAGTCACAATACACCAATTTCCATTAGTTGCATTCAACCCCAGTAACGAATGTAAAAAATCATCCCACAAGATATGGCTTTCGGTCCAGACATCATCAAGAACAAGAAGATATTTTTTTCCCATAAGTTTTTTTTGAATTTTCTTGACGATGACATCCCTACTGGTCATTTCAACATTTCTTCTCTTGAGTGATTCTAAAATCATTTTGAAAAGCCTGGTCACTTCAAAATCGTCAGACACACAAACCCAAATTTTTTTCTCAAAATGGCTATCAACTTGACGATTGTTGTAAACAGATTGAGCTAAAGTTGTCTTTCCCAATCCGCCCATCCCAAGGATGGGAATTACAGAAACTGCTTTTTCTGACAAGCTTAGCAAGGTCTCGACTAGACTTGTTTCATCCTTAGCTCTTCCTACAACATTATGGCCAACAACAGAGTCCGTCTCTCTATTTAGTGTGACTTTAGCAGTAGTAGAAGGGGGAAAGTTTTCCCCTGATTTCTGACCAGCCGAAAATCACTGGCCTCTTTATTGATCTTATTCAACTTCTTGTTGATGTCCCTGATCTTAGAGGCCATTCTCCATTGGAAAACAATATTAATGTCAGAGGACAGCGTACCTTGCCCACGAGTTGGCAACGAAGAACTTCATAATTGAGCTCGTCCAACAAATTCTCAGCATCAAACGCCACGCCTTCCAGCCTCCGAAGCCACAGTTGCACGGCCTGGTCACACGTTTGCTTTTTTTCAGCATCAGCCAAGACAGCTTGGATCATGGCAACAGATTCTCTCAGGGTCTCCAAATCCTCCTCCAATTGGAATAACTTGCCAATTCTTTCATTGGCAAGGGAAAGTGTCATCTCCAATGCTACCTCTATTGTGGAAGAAATAAGTGCATTAGCCATTCTTTTTGTTCCTTGGGTACAGTCTTCAGATCAGAATACTCTTTTGCGGTGGAAGGTTTTAGTTGCAGCAAGGAACTGCTCTTAAACTGCAGTGACAAGAGTTATGAGGATTTTTTGGTGCAGTGCTCCTTTGACAAACAGGGTCGAATGCCTTTGCAACGGAAGTTGCTTGGCATTGTCAGTTGAAGATATTGTCGTTGCTGGGATTCTGCATCTGTTTTGATCCACATTCCACATGCTTGGGCCCCCTGGCGATTAAAATTGCACCAAGAACGACAAGAAAGTGAGCTGAACAATGAAGGGTTCAAAATAATTTTTTTATAAATAAATAAAAAAGAAAATGACAATCATAATTGAGACACTGACAAATCTCACTAGTTGATCCTTGGGACATAAACATAGCATTAAATTTCATCTAAATTGCTGATTTTGGGGTTCATATTTGTTAGGGCGAAACACCTCGAGAGAGTCCACCAAAGAGTCCAATATGTAAGTTAGGAATCCAATTCTGACCCAAAAGCTTAAGTTATTAGGTTTTGGACCTTTACTTGCATATTAACTACTCTTTCTGGACACAACCCTTTACTCATGAATCTAACAAATCTCCCCCATCATGAGTAACTCCCACATTAAACCCAAATTTACAAGCTCTTCTTCGAGCTCACTTTAATACTCAATGCAAGCCCACCTTATCACTTAAGGTCATCTCTTCTTCCAATCATGGACCCACTCTTCTTCAACATCCAAACTGCATTCTGGACCCCTGCCAACCCTTGACTCCTTGGTCTAATTCCAACCGGACCCCCTGCCAAACCCATGGCACACCTGGTCCAATAGGAGCCAAACTCCTTAGCACTTTTTTGTCCATCACCAAGAAGAGAATTTTCACCGGTACAACTCTGAGAAGAATCCACTTGTCCATGAGTAGCCCAGTTTTGGCAACGTGAAGCTCTGATACCACTTGTTAGGGCGAAACATCTCGAGAGAGTCCACCAAAGAGTCCAATATGTAAGTCAGGAATCCAATTCTGACCCAAAAGCTTAAGCTATTAGGTCTTGGACCCTTATTTGCATATTAACTACTCTTTCTCTATCTCTCGGACTGATGTTGGACACAACCCTTTACTCATGAATCTAACAATATTTAACATATATGCAAGTACACCTTATTTTGTTGGCTTTCTGCAAGGGTTTATGCTAACATTGTAGCTACCATTTCCATGGTAGCTATTATCCCCTTTAGCTAATTCAGAATAGAAACTTTATATTATAGTGGTGTGGAAGTGCTGCAGCTGTACATGTTTGAGAAACTTGAATGCCATTAATTGCTGTAGAAGTTTGGCTGGCAATTTCACTGGGCCTTATTAATCAATGCTTAGCTGATATTTTCATTTGTTTCTGATTGAAGGATGCTAGCCGGGGCCTTCGGTTGTGGAAAATATCTCAAATGACTATATAATAACGATCAAAAAAAATGTAAAGGAGAAGGGAAATGACAATCACAGTCGTGGGGGAAAAAAAGAACTGAAAAAATAATGGCTGCAGGTTTAGTTATGAAAAGTATGAAATCGAAGAGTATAATATGCAAAATAGTCAAAATAGTCCCTTGTATTTCCAAAAGTTTTCTAGCACTTTGAACTTACAAAGAAGGAATCAAGAACTCACATTTTGATGCAAAATGTCCTCTTTATGTCCCATATGCAAAATTTAAGAGGTGAACAATTGAGAAGTTTCTTTGTTAACTTATTATTATTTTTATTTTTATAGAGTATAATATGCAATCAACTGGAGTTGACGGTGAAATACACCTTTATCTTACGCTATATTCGTACACTTTTGCTGAATTAGATATTTTGAAAGGACGAAATGAGCATGTTGTTGTTGATTTTGAATTTTATCCTTGAATTATTTACCCGTGATAATGAGCACAAGTTTTGCTTAAATGGAATGCTGACCATTCACATATGATGATTTATCTATTCAGGCCCAATTCCCAGTTTCGGTAGTGTTCGAGTTCTGGACGAATTGACGTCCGCAAAGTTTAGGAGTCGGATTCAATTCCAAATCGGTTCTTAAAATTTCAGTTTGGGAAAAAAAGGGGTCAATTGTAACTTGCACCCCTCAACAATTTAGCGATCAGCCTTTGCATCCCAAACTTTCAATTTCAGTAATCAAACTTCTAATTCTGGGCAATCCACTATATTTAACAAGTTAAAAAAAGACCATTTTGCATACTTGCTCTTCTTCTGTTCCAAATCAGCCTTTCTTTTTTTTAACCCACATAATAAATCCATAAACTTTGCATAAATAATAAGCTGACCAAAAAAAATGCTGTCTTGAAAAAATAGGGCAATCCGAGTCAAGATCACCATCATCGTGCACTCATGGATCTTTTTCCCAATGGCAGTAGCAAAACCAACTCCCTGCCCTCTACCTGTACGCCCAATCCCAGAGAAGACACAATAATTCAGCCATCGGTCCCTTATTCCCCCTTTTTTCGTGCTTTCAGCTTCCTGTTCCAGAGAAGAGTTTCATAGCCTCGATGTTAAGAATTAGAAAGAGTATGACGTCAACTTCTTTTAGACCAAAAAAAATGGAGGTTGGATGGAGGAGTTTAAATCAAGATATGTTGTTGGACGGTTGAAATTGAAAAAGAAATGGTTTTGCCGAAAAAAAATAGTTTTGTTTTTGCAATAGGGAGAGACAATCATGATGAGTCTTAGAGGTTCGAAATTAAGGGATTTTTTCTTATTTGTTTTCTTGTCTCCTAAAGATCTTATTCCCTTTTTTTTCTTTGTATTTTATTACCTTTCTATTAATGAGTTTTAAAAAGTTAAAGTGACCGTGGTGGCTAAGATGTTTATGATGTTAGTGGTGGCAGAGTGATCAAGAGGTTGCTATTGATAGTATGACATTTGACTAATGAGGACTGTGAGATTTGGAAATGGCTTTTGTTTTGAAGAATATTTGTAGGGTAAGGGAGGGTATTTTTGGAGGTATGGCAAAAATTTGAAAGTAAACAAGTATAATCTCTCTCTCTCTCTCTCTCTCTCTCTCTCTCTTTATTAGATTAGCTTGATTTATAAATTTTTCAAAAAATTAGAAGTTGAAGGTAGTGGTCTACTGGAATTTAAAGTTTGGGATGCAAAGTCCAATTGCCAAATGGTTGAGGGGTACAAATTATAATTAACGCAAAAAATGTTGGCAATCAATTTTGATCAAATTTGTCCCTAATATTTTGATCTAAACAACTATAAATGCTAAAATAAATTAATTGACCAAATTGGTGCATGATATGTTATAAAATCAAAGAAAATATGTTAATATAATATAAAATACCAAAAAATCAAAACAATACGTTAATATAATCCAAATTGGGTCCTCCAAGAATTGTAGTATACTATGCAGTGGAAATATGTGGCATAAAATTAAAGTAAAATCACAAAAAATTTTAAAATTCTATAAAATATAAAAATAACTTCAAGGCATTTATTTTTGACCAAATGAAGACAATTGGTGCTGAATTATAAATTAGTATATTCAAACTATAATGCTTGATGCATTTTGCTATTAAAAAAAGTACACAAAAAGTAAATAAATAGAGCCCATGCGTATACATGCTTTATTCCATTATTAAATTGGATTTCTATGTTACCTTACAATTAATTTTTAGGTGTTTAAAAATGAAATAAAATTACATAAAACCAATGAAAAATCACAAAATATATTCAAAATACATTAGAGTCTCTCTTTCAATAAAAGGAAAAAAATTTATCTTTATTTGATCAAAATTGATCATCTTACACTTATTTACATTTTTTAGAAGTATTAAAAAATTTGGTGACTTTTCTATTAACTTTATCTTATATTTATAGAATTTTATGTACTTTGAATCATATTTATAATTTTTCTTAGATTTCATAAAACATTTGGGGCTAAATTCTTCATAAAGCATTTTCTTAGATTTTATAAAACATTTGTAAGAATTTAAATTCTTGATAGGAAATTGAAGAAGTTTCCAATTTTGCGCTTCATGTAGAATGATTGCCTGCACTTTGATATTTGTGTCGATCGTCTGCTTCTCTCAGACCCAACTCAAGTGCATCATGCTTTTACCGGGTTTGGATCCAAATTTTAAAAGCTAAACTCTGCTCAGATCCATATCGTGTAAATGAATTATTAATTTGGGTAAGATCTAGTTTTGCACAATCCAGCTCAAATCCAGATCTAAACCCAAATCCGAAATAGACTAACACATACTTAACTAGTAATTAATGGATCAACCGTAAATGGGTCAGTCATATAATGTTTTAAACATTTTTTTCTTTCTAAAGTAGCTTGAAACTAGACTTTTTTTCTGTAACATTTTTCCTAAATTACATTTAGTGATTAACCCAGATTTGGATTACATAATAATCTATAGTTTGACTAAAAATTGAGAAGTGGAGAAGCTTCAAATACACGCAAATTAGACACGGGATGTAGATGAAATTTTTGAAGAAAATAGACTTAGTTGATGTGGTTTTATGATTTTAGTTCTTAATTGTTGTACACAACATTCTACAATGTTGATTTTGTTATTTCTAAATGATGCTTGGATTGTATTTGTGCATGTTCTTAACTAACATTGCAAATCTAATCTTAGCTTTTGATTTTCAAAAAGGTATTTTATTTTGTTTTCGACTGCTTTTGATAACCCGGTTTCAGATTTTTTAGGTCCAAAAAAGGCTAAATGACAGGTGTCGTGCCTGTGCAATAATAAATACCTGCTTAAGAAAAATAAATTTTCTGTGTATATAGTAAGCAGGGTCGAATCCACAGGGACTGGGAAAAATTCGATTCTTTTTAAATTCGAGACACGGGGGATTTTTATTAGATAAAACTAAAAATAAATAATTAAACAATTTAACTAAAAATAATTAAACAATTTAACCAAAAATAAATAAATAATTAATACGAATGTAAATGGCAATTAAATAAATAATAAATAAATTCTAGCCA